GKYCYSTTTWAAGWCARCAAGAACCWTAATTTACGACTGTTTATTGTTTAAATGTGCTTTCTAATAGCTTTTGGTTCGATGGCTATGTACAAAAGAACGCACACGAGGCTCCGGGAAAACAATGAATAATATTGATTTATTCTTTTATTTCCCCGGAGCCTCGTCTGCAATTCTATTGTGCATGACCCCTGAACCAAAATATCTACAGTCGGCTATTGGTGCAAAATTAAACATGGCGAATTTTCCGTGTGAGAAATCGCGCAAAGGCTCTTGGGTGCACGTGGGACATTGCTGGCTTGCGCTAATTTTCGCAAGTGGCTATCAGGACGCWCACTTTATACGACGTTGGTGGAACTTTTACGTCACTCCAGTGGAGTATAGAAAGAAGTTTACGGAAACGGAACCTCGGGTTTAACGTCCTCATCCGATAAGATATTCCGGATTCCAGATGTCTGATTTTCCTATCCCAGAGCCAAAACTTTGCCCGATCGGATTCGGGATTCTGTGTCGAGGGGCGAGGATATTAAGCGAAACGCAAAAACTGTCATTTAAATTGTATTCTTTTTAAACAAATACTTTTAGTTTCAATGACGATTTACCAATATCATAACGTTTATTGAAATATATAGATATAAACGAACTTCAAATATCGTCCACAACTGGAAGAGAATGTTTACATAAGCAGCGATATATAATGGAAAACTACAACTGAAAATACACTGATCAAAACTAGTACACTAGCTTCAAAATCAAGCAACTTTTCTTTACAATGGTTAAGTAATTTTGAAGTAAAGCAGCATTCGAAATCTGTGTCCGTGAAACTGTTTTTGCTATAGCTGGTAAAACTTAGCGATGTAGTAAACTTTTGTCTATAAAAYCAAGCAACTTTCTTCAGGACTGGAGCCTGTGTCCGTGAAATTGTACTTGTTATAGCTGCTAATATTTAGCAACCTAGAAAACTTGCGGATAAATCGAGAACATTCTTCATGACTGGCAAATAAAGTTAACAAAAACCAGTTTTATAAAGCAGGAAACGAAACTATCAAATACTGTTACAGTTTAAAAGTTGACAAACCGTGTTTCAACTACCGCTGACTAGCGCATGTCACATGAACTATGATGTGTTGATCATCATGGCAAACCAAGTCTTCTTTTCAGACTTGTAAACTGTTCGTGGGCTCTGGTATACTTCCTCATTGCCGTATCATAATTGTTGCGGTCAGCGGCAGCAGGTAGCTTGGTGATTTGGACACTAGTACCATGACCACTACCATTTACACTAACCACAGCAATGTTCTTCCCTCTGAAGTTATCCCTCTCAAACCTCTCTGCTTGGCACCTGGCGTTAAATTTYTTGTAGTGGAAGRTTTTSTCTGGACCGCGCATRAATGTTTCAACCTGGGGATGACCTGGAAATACGGCGGTCGGTCGGCGCCAATCTGTCTTGGGTTCGCCAGCTTGAACAATGGGGAGAAGTTGATCAATGCGCGCTTTCAAAAGACGTTTGACTGGYTCTGATGAATCTGCTGAAAAAGCGTATGAAGAAGCTATGGAGTTCAGCAGGTCTTCACTGCGGATTTGTATAACATCTTCGACAATTCTCGTTAGCAGGTGTTCTTGTTTCAGGCTATGGAGATGTCTAACGCCTTCAGCAATGGTACTCGAGTCTTGACTGGACATTTCTTGACCTTCTTGTGCTATGCGGTGAATCTGCAAATACAGTACTCAAATATTAGAAAGTTAATTGTTGACAAAGAAAATTTCCTCGACAGAAATAAAAAATAAAATCAATTAATTAATCAGTCAATCAATTAATCAATCCACCAATCAATCTTTAATCTTTAAACCTTTAAATAAATTAATTGCCACTAGCGAGCTAATCCGGCAACCAATCAATCAATTAATCAACCAACCAATTAATTAATCAATCAATCAATCAATCAACCAATCAATCAATCAATCAATTAATTAATTTATCAGTCCATCAATCAATTTATCAATGAGGTGGACAATTATCATGAAATTCTGATGTTGATGAAGATAGCTTGTAACAATAAAAAAAATATATTATATATATATATATATATATACATAACAACTTTTGTACCTTTTCACAAAACTTTTCAATAACCATCTGCCTTAGTTCAGTATTGTTATCTTCATTGCTATACCATGATGGAGGTTTCATCAACTGACATAGCACTTGAACACTTTGCAACTGAGGTGAGTTAAAGTATGCCTCCTTGAACTGTGAACAGGTTTTGGGATGACTTACAATGAAGGACCCCAATGCTTTGACATTATCAGTACTGACTTTGCTTTCTCCAGTATCTGACAGTGATTTCACACCTTTCTGGATTAACGAAGTCATCAGCTGATCTGTTGGCACATCTTTAGGGCACTGTTCCATGAACTTAGCTACATTGTTGAGTTGTTTAAGTTGGCATGACTCAATCAKCTTTGTTAGATCCTCAGCTAAGTCTTTCCATCCAAATAAATCAATGAGCTCTTTCAGTATGGGGACCATTGTATCCTCTGGAATTCCARCAGCACCTTCGTTTCTGCTACATGGTTCAGATAACAGCAATAGGTATTTCTTTATCAGCTCCAAATCTTTTATCTTTAACAGATTTTTTAGCATAGTGATTTGTCCACCCCTGTAAGAACATAGGAAAGATTCTTTCTTATCAGTAAAGAGATCAATGATGTCATTTGCTATCTTTCTCACAGACTTGGAAGTTGCATCTTTGCTTTTGAGTACACCTTCTAGGTAATCAACAGCATGGCTAGTGTAGCGTCCAGAAAATGCTACTTTGATATCGTTCCCTTTTGGAAAGATGAGAAGGACATAACGACGATACCAATTTGTCTTGTATGCTCCTTCATTTCCAGACGGGCCGCTGCACTCACCCTCAATACACTTCCCCCAGAACTTATCAGGGTCTTCACCGACATTCAAGACATCTTCRTCCACTTCCAAGYCAAAAGCATTTTTCGACCACTGCTCCCCAYTCACATCAATCAAATCATATTCATAATCAGTATCACAATCATGTCTTATAAAGCAATTTTTTTTYCTGCCTCGTCTTCCCCACTCTCGTTCACATTCACCAGACATGTTGTCATTTCTTTGAGCTCCAACAATCAAGAAATCAAGTTTCTTGTCATCRTCTAGAAGAGCATTGGCACCTTGTAGACTTGCATATGTCAGTTTGTCRCCTCCTTTCAGAGCCTCAACCCCCTTGTTCAGGAAGGARTTTTCAGAGTACTGATGATCAAGTCCCCAAGCCAAGATACCATTAGGGGCAGCTTTGTCAAAGTGCTGAAGTAAGCCAGCAAGTCTATTGGTTGGAATATCAGGAGGRCTAGGAACCACACCATTWCCATCCCAGCACAGGGAATACACAAGAGCCATGCGGTAWCCAGATTTGATTTTTGTTAACTCATGTTCGCAATCRCTGTAGTGAGMGGCGTAGAAACATGAGAATTCAGACTCCTTGGARCTGAATTTGATYCTCTTTTCTTTGGAATTATGCTTCACWACYAAATCACCTCCTGAGAAGACGGATGGCAGCTGAATGATGAGGGTGGCAAACATTCCAGGAAACTTTTCGGTATCCCGATGAGGCTTGAAGTGTCCTCCTGGCTCATAAAGGAGAAGTTTGTAAAGTTGGGAGGTTACRTTTACATCTGTGCATCCAAGGTCTTCTTTGATTTTTGTCACAAGCTTTCCAACACCAGCAGTGAACTTCTTATTAGTAATTTTGAACTTCTTTGGGTCCAACTGAAAGGAATCTCTAACGTTCTTATCGATAAGAGTAGCCTCTCCAAGACCATAAGGTGCTTGCTGGAAATTCTTTTTTAGATCTTCAACAGTAGTATTTGTAACTGGCAAGCTYACTTTTCCATATCCTGTGATAGTAATGCCTGGAATTGGTGGGAGCTCAGAGCTGATGGCACCAACTGCAAACTCAAGGGTTTTCTTGCTGTCAATCTCTGTCAGAACCTTTAGAAGATCTGCACGTACATTTTCTTTAGAGTGAGGACTTTCCAAATTGGAGTTCTGATTACCAAGTCTTGGCTTTTTTGGTGCAGAAGCCATGTCTACCTGGAATAGGAAAAATTAAAATTAGAAGAAAAAAATGAAAAAATTAAAATTTTAATATAGCATAGGACGACAGAATTTGCTTTTTTTTTGATGCAGTGCATTCATTATACATTCTGTAAAAAAGAAAAAAAATATAATACATAATTGCACAAAATGGCAAGTAATAAAATGTAAGTAATGGAAGGCAAAGAGTTTTGTTCTAGTAATTTGCCTAAACAAAAGGGCACGAGTTCGCGCTATATTAGAGCGCCTAGTTTGATGGGCAACGCACTATCCAAAATAGGTCAACAAATAAAATAACGATATAAAACAAAACAATAGACAATCAAAACATTCAATATCGTTGGAGGTATATATGTCGATACTTTAATATGAAAAAAAAATACCTAAACACTATTAAAAGAATGAGTTTGTTTTGAAATTTGAGGTTCGAGCGGAGCTTCGTCGATCGACAATCATTCCACATTAAATTTTCACTATTCCCAAATATTTCTTTGAAATTACGAAACTTTATACTACTATCAAATTAATAACATAACAAAAGGGCAAAATTGCCCCTAATCGCCTTTAATAACGAAGTACTAAGGCTTAAATCCCTCGAGAATGATAGCAAACAATTCAGCGCACGTGAGCGTGCCTTCAAACACGACACCGAAAATCTTAGCCTTGAGGATATAACATAGAGTTTGGTTTAAATGCAACTTCAATAGCTTAACTCTTACCTTGGTGGAGAATCGAAGGAAAAATACTCTCTCAGAGCTGGAGAAATAGAGAATTTCTTGAGGTAACGGTGTCGTCCAAACCTGCTCTCGTGCGAAACTTGGCAAAGAGAACTACTAAATGCCCATGCGCTGAAAATTTTGGCGCGAAAATGCACTTTCACTTCCGTTTCCGGTGGTTGGATTAAAATAGGTAGCAACAAAAGCAAAAAATTGCAAAACATGCAGAGAATCATTCGGGCAGTATTTTGACGAGAAATAATTCGAGCAATGGCAGCCATTCTAATGATTATCGAGGTTGAAAATGACTGCATTTGGCCGTACTCTCGTAAGGGAGTAGGGCCTGGGTACAAGAATGCGCATTTGGCCGATACTCGCCATAGAGGCTGGAAACAACTTCTGAAATATGACGGTCTGATACTAGAAAGTCAGCTTTATATAATATTCTAAGCCGAAATGTCTAGTCTACCAAAGCTTCATCAATTCTCCAATCTGGAAAGTGAAAAGCTTGATGAAAAGCATTTAAGAGCAGATCTTCTCAAGGTTCTAACAGACATTGAAAGYAAGAAAACTCCTCAGTTTGCGGTTGGTGCTGTCACTACTGAGCTGCCTTCAATTCCAGGCCTTACAATCACAGRATATGGARTGGTAAGCCTTCCAGTTACAGATGCTACTGTTAAAGATCTAAAGGAGCATTTTAAGCAAGCATGTTCTGGGCTTGGAGAGGCTAGTCTAATTGACAAAGATTTCTGGGAACTTGATGCTRAAMAGTTCAAAATAACCAACWCAAAATTCACCACTGGTGTTGRAAAGCTTGTGATGGAAATCAAAGAGGAGCTTGGGTGTGCAAATGTGCATGTATTCTCCCATCTCTGCAAACTTATTCTTCACAGTCCAGGAGGATACTTCAAGCCCTACCAAGATACTTCAAAACATCCTGGAATATTTGCCACCCTCATCATTCAGCTGCCGTCCATCTTCTCTGGAGGTGATTTGGTTGTGAAGCATAATTCCAAAGAAAAGAGAATCAAATTTAGCACCAAGGACTCAGAGTTCTTTTGTTTTTATACTGCTCACTTTGCTGWTTGTGAACATGAGCTAATGGAAATTAAATCTGGYTACCGCATGGCTCTTGTGTATTCCCTGTGCTGGGATGGTAATGGTGCAGTTCCTAGCCCTCCTGATCACCCTGCCAATAGACTTGCTGGCTTATTTCAACACTTTGACAAAGCTGCACCTCATGGTTTCTTGGCTTGGGGACTTGATCATCAGTGCTYTGAAAGCTCCTTCCTGAACAAGGGAGTGGAGGGTTTCAAAGAAGGTGACAAACTGACATACTCAAGTCTACAAGATGCTAATGATCTTCTGGATGATGACAAGAAACTTGATTTCTTAATTGTTGGTGCCAAAAGAATAGACAATATGTTTGGTGAGTGTTCACAGAAATTCCAGAGAGTTCACAGAAGCATGAAGGGAAAATGCTTTAAAGAATATGAATGTGAAAGAGAGTTTGAATATGATATCATTGGCATGGATRGGAAGAAATGGAAAACAAATGGATTTGAAATGGAAGTGTTTGATGATGTTTTGAATTTTGGTGACAATGATGACAAATTCTGGGGGGGTTGTAATGAGGGGGAATGCAGTGATCGTTATGGCATCGATGGATATGACGTAACATACAAGACAAACTGGTATATGCGTTACGCCCTTCTCATTTTCCCAAAAGGGTGCTCCATCAAGGTAGCATTTTGTGGTTATGACATGCAATGTAAYGCTGTTTATTATCTTGAAGACCTACTGGAGACAACCCAAGATACACCATCTGTCAAAATGGTAGCAAGTGATATCCTTGATCTTTTAAAAGAAAACATGGAGTCTTTCATGGAAGACATGGATTGTCRAAAAAATATGCTTAAGCTTCTGTTAAGAGTTAAGGATTTAGAGTTGATAAAGAAACTTCTATTGCTGTTGTCTGAACCACTTGATAGTAACCTTGATGAAGGTTTTGGTATTCCAGATGACAAAGTGATCTCTCTACTAAAAGACCTGATTACTACTTTTGGATGGGAAGCCTTAACTGACCCTCTTACAAAGCTAATTGAGTCATGTCCAATTAAATACTTCAACAATGTAGCAAAGTTCATGGAACAGTGTCCTAAGGATGTACCCACAGATCAGCTGATGAYGTTGTTGGTCCAAAAAGGTRTGAGACTACTGTCAAAGGCTGGAGGAAACCATCTGCGCACAGAAAATATCAAAGAATTAGGATTGTACATAGTRAGTCATCCCCAAACCTGTTCMCAGTTCAAAGAGGCATACTTTAACTCATTGGAGMTTCAGAATCTAAAASGGTTAACAAGAATGATGTCAATTCTGAGGTGGTCATGGTAYAGCAACAAAGACAACAATGCTGAATTCTGCCAGATGATTATTGCAAAGTTTTGTGAAAAGGTACAAAAGTTTATATACTGATGATATTTCTATAATTAAGTGCTTCATCATCATCATCATCATTTCATCAATGTTCCACATTTGACAATTTACAATACATCATTTTTTAATTTCATCAATTTTCCACCTTGTTACAATTATTATATATCAGTTTATTCTTTATCAAGAAATTGCATGTGACCACTTAGTTACATGAAAGGCGCTTTTAAAGCGCTTACCAGGGCTTCATAACTATTACTCAATTATCACTTATCTTGCACTTTATATGTACATGGTTTACGGATAAAATGCGMCCAACCTTATGTCCGTAAGTGAATTGATGAATTTATCACAGTATTCTTGCCTTGTTCATCCCAAAATAAGTTAATATTAACTGGTGAAAAGTCACTATTTCCCTAATTTCGCTTCTATACTGCAATAACAGGTCCACACKATAGMGCAAGAAGGWCAAGACATTTTCTACGAAGACTCCAGTAACATYGCTRAAGGAGTCACTGATCTCTACAGAATGCAAGAGGAAAACCARTTCAAGGAGGTTGTCGAAGATGTTGTACAAATCCGCAGTGCATACTTGTTGGACACCTTAGTTTCTCATTTCGAGTATTTTACTGATTTATCAGAGCCAGTCAAACGTCTTTTTAAAGCGCGCATTGATCAACTTCTCCACATCGTTCAAGCTGGCGAACCCAAGGAAGACTGGCGCCGACCAACTGCAGTATTTCCAGGTCATCCAAAGGTGGAAGCATTCATGCGTGGGYCAGGGAAAACCTTCCACTACAMGAAATTCAAWGATAGGCGTCAAGCACAAAGGTTTGAGAGGGATTACTTAAAAAAGGAGAGCAATGTTTTTGTTAKGGTAAAGGGCAGCTGGAACAATACAGTGGTAGAGATAACCAAGYTGTCTGCTAACAAATTTAAGTATAACCAGGCGCTGGAAAAGWTCAGAAGAGACTGTGCGCAGCTAAAGAGCCTACAAGGAAAGCTTGATGYAGCGTCGACATCACGTGGTCAACGTTAACAGACAGCATAGTTTCCTACAGTATTCCGCTGACTTATTAAAGGATTATGCCCAGTCGTGAAGAATTTTGMTGGATTTAAAAGTTAGTTTTCTAAWAAAAMTACCGCTGCTTATATTCAAACATTACACTACCAGTTGTGGAGAAAGTTAACTGATTTTGAACTTTAGAGTACGAATTGCTCTCGCTATTTGTATCTATAGCACAATTTCAGGAAGACAGTTAGGTTTCAAACTATACATCGCTGCTTTGTTCACAAAACATTACTGTACCAGTTAATTTATAATTATATATTTATAATATTTAATATTTTCAGTGAACGTATTAGTGGTTAACTTAGTACMGTAGGCTTATAAATCAATGCACAACTAGAGACATAATACAAACGATATGTTTATTGTTCAAATATTTCTCAATAACATGGCCAATATATTAGCTAACGTTTGGTATGAATATAATTTCTTTGCATGAATATGTTATAATTCGTTAATTGAAACAATTTATCCGTTCGCGGATTTAAAATCAGAATGCCGTTCGGGTTGCTGATTGTATAGTTATTAAAAGAAATCATTCCATCCATGCATTTAATAATTTATCCATTCATTAGATKTTCAATCATCTATCCATTCACTGAGTACTGAATTCATTTATTCATTTCGATCCATTTTTCCGTCTATTCAGACAAGCATCCGGCATTCGTCCATTGTCTTTGGTCGTCTTCATCCATTCATTTCTTAATAAATTCATCCTTCCCATTTAAACATTCAGTTCTATTCGTTTAATTAATCCCACCACTTATTCATTCATTCATCCATTCGATTAGATACGAATTCATCAGTACATAAAGTTCGTACAATGCAACAATTATAACCGAACAAGTCCTCYCATCTTTAACAGCAGTACTCCACTGTTCGTAGATTCATCCTTAGACTATCAAACTTCAACGACACACAACATAAAATAGCTCCCAAAATGTCAACAGTCCAAACATTCCATCGTAGATTAATATAGCTTTGCGTGCGTGCGTCTTGTCGGTACTAAATTCATCGTAACATTTATAACGTATATCGTTGATAGAACATTTAAAATACGACGGGAATTCCGTAGGTATAAGGCCAAGTATCAGGGCCATCATTACGACTAGGTAAAACGTCCTAAAGCTCAACTGTATAACGTAAAAGCGAACGAGYGTCGGAGCGGGACGCCGTGGGTTTTCTTCTAAGTGGCTATCGTGAGGAAGCCGGCCAAAAGCACAGAGTAAATACAACGCCCAGCCAAGAAGAAGAACGAGGCCATTAACCAACGCAAAGGTTCCAAAGCTCGTTGGGTTGTTGTAAAGCTTTGAATAAGAAGCGTAGCATTTTGAATTCAAGGTTTTATTCACGGGGTAATTCTYGTCTAACGATTTGCAGTGGAATTGATTGGCGTCTTGTTGGTAGACATATCCAGAAATGAATATTAAAATTACAAACCAGAAAATGAAAGAAACGATGAATAAAACCCCACCACATCGAGTCTGTGTTTTYTGGATTTCGTTCCAAAATAGTTTCAATAATTTTCGCATGACTGGAAARTACAACTGTATGTGTATTCAAAGAGGACCATCAATCCTGAAAAATAAACAAGAAAATAATAATTATAAGTAACATTAAGAGTTCTATTTTTTTGCCTGGTAAAGACTAGCCATTGATTTTGACTTTATTTCGACGCTGTAGGGGCTACGTTGAGCTTCTCGAGGAGTGACACAAATTTACTCAGAGATCCGCGCTGCCTAATTGACAACTGGTCGTTTGTCCAAGGTAAAACTCTAGTCTCACGGTATATGATGTTTTTCTGGTGTTCCCCCTCCCTTCCCTCCAGYCTAGAATCTTGATTGGCACGTACCCCTCCTAAGGAAAAAAGGAAGTAGCCCCACTCTTTCCTTTTGACCACATAAATAGTCATATTGATAACAAAAGATCTGATTGCGATAAATATATATAAATGTAAGAGAGAGTGTCCTTGGTAGAAGAGCTGACGCAGACCGGAAATGGCCTAAGTCACGTGATAAGGGATATCAGACTCTCAGTAGAAATATTATACAACATTTAATGATTAAATTGCTTAAAACAAAGTTTCAGAAATTATATTTTAGATCAACACAGTGTACAAAGCCGGACTTCAGTGTATGTACAATATCGTYGTGTCTATTTTCGGGATAAATTAATTATTTTAAGTTTAAAGGTCAACTTAAACTGATAGAGCTATACCAAATGACCCTAATTATAAAGCTTTTATAAAACGCACAAAGCARCAATTGCCGATAAATATAAGCTAATTATATTTTGCTTTGTCTAATTATTTGATATCCCGCTACAAAACGCACGACAACTGCTAGACCGATAAAGAATTTAGGTCGATCTTTGCTAAACTTTAATTGCGAAACACAATGGGAATTATATACGGCAATTTATAATTTAAATTTAATAAAAGAAAAAAAAATGCTTATAAAATGTTTGGTAGTTACATGTAAAAGTGAAAATACATACAATATTTCATGCTAAATTATTGAAATCCTACGCGAACTATATTACATTTCTGTACAGTGCCAGAAGACAGCAGGTTTCATAAGTGCCATATGAACTAGTATCGTGCGTTCAATAGTATCAACTCGAATTTACTAAGGGCAATTAGCTAAATTAACTACATATTATTTATAACAAACACAGGGTGAAATTTCTTACCTTGTTTGAAGTATTTAGAGATAGTTTCATTTTGAAAACGACCCCGRCATCGCCTGTTGCAGATCTGCGCTAAAAATAGCGAAATGTTTTTGTTTGTCATTACATACATGTAGCCTCGCATTCAGGCTGAGCCAGCAGTACTTATTACCGCTGATGGCGGACCAGCTGAACTTTTATTGAACGTACATTTATTCMTGAAAAACTTAGATTTTTCTTAATCTTTGCGACAAAATTAGTATTTTTAAATTAGTAATTTGTTTTTAAGTAATTTATCGCTTCAAATATGGATTCTGCTCAAGAACAGGTATGTAAAAAGTACAATAAATTAGATCGTGAATCAAGTGTCAAAGTGTGTTACTTTATTTCGAAACTTTTAATTTTTGTAACTTAGATAACAAAATTATTATTTTTGGCTTCTTTTCTTTTAAGATTCTCGTCGAGCCATATCAATATATTTTGCAAGTTCCTGGGAAACAAGTCAGAGAAAAGCTTATTCAAGTATAATAAATAATTATTAAGTATGATGTTAAGTTATATATATGCTTTAATCGCTGTCAGTACAGAATATGGCACCAGATAATTCTGTATTCTAATTAGCATCAATCATACTGTCTGGACAGCATTATAATCGCTATTGAAACTGTACTGTGTGGTTGAATGATTATTGATTGTCCTCACTGTTGGTCTGTGAGGTCTCAAGAACTATAGCCTGCAAATCAGCTGTTTCTAGAGAAATGCTGTGGGAGTGACAATGCATGCTTGCTACATGGACTATTTTTTAATATTCAAATGACTATGACTTCCTGGACTCAAATGATTGTTGGCTTACCTGGTGTTGTCATTGAAAAATAAAATGAATTAACATTGAATTGCTGACATTGTTGTTAACTTTCAGGCGTTCAATATCTGGCTAAAAATACCTGATGAAAAGCTGGTGATCATTTCTGATGTTGTGAAAATGTTGCATAATTCAAGTTTAATGTATGAATAATGATATTATAATTTCCTTATATTGAACAGAGTTTATGACTTTTATTGTAAACCAACTTTKTAGGATTGATGACATCGAAGATAATTCAAAGCTTAGAAGAGGAATTCCAGGTAAAAACTGTGTTTTGTGGTTTTTGTACTGCATCAGTTGTKGGGCCCTTACTCTGTTGGGCTTCCTTAATCGACACAGGAAGCCCAGGCAGGTAGTTATGAAGCTAGTAATTGACCTGTTGACTAACATTTCTATTTATTTTACCAACAGTTACCCACAATATATTTGGTGTTGCTCAAACCATCAACAGTGCAAACTACATTTATTTCAAAGCACTTGAAAAGGTTTTATCRTTAGATCATCCTGGATGCATTAAGGTTTTTACAGGTACATTCAGTTTAGTTTGGATGTCATTCAATACTCCTCATTCATTCTGATTATTCTTTTATTTTCCCATCAATTCATTTATTCATCACAATTTTCATTCATTTCTTTCATTAATAAGATTTCCCATTCAAGTGATTAATCTTTTCATTATTCTTTCATTCCATCTCATGCATTCATTTACTAGTATTGATAATATTTTTTTGTTCACTTATCCATTAAAAAAAGATGTATTTATTTTCTCATCCATTCATTTCATACTTTCATTCACTATGTTCCTTCATGAATTATCTTTAGAAAGTTTTCTTTTATTTGTGTTATGTCTTTAGAAGAGTTATTAGAGCTACATCGTGGTCAGGGTATGGATATCTACTGGCGAGATTCCTTTACTTGYCCCACAGAGGAAGAATATAAAGAGATGGTTAGAAAAAGTAAGTTGTCTCTACCAGGAAGCTAATATATACAAAAGAGTAGGCTACAAAGTACTACCTTAGTTTCATCCAGCATTTATCAAATAAACACTGTTGAGAATAATCTTGATGGCTAGCTGCAATGAAGATTAGATCATAAGAAGACATTAAAATATACGAATGATTGTCTTACTATAGAAACTGGTGGTTTGTTTCGAGTTGCTGTCAGGTTGATGCAGCTGTTCAGTGAGAATACAAGGTATTGTGTACATTCAAATGTTCAATTTTTTACAAGTGTCTTGTTTGTTATTCATTACTGTCTTCTCATGTTGGAAATAGGATATATGTGATATAGGATATATAGGATTTATGTAGGATATATTGTATTCATATCATTATTTTGCAGTGACTTTTGCCCTCTTCTTGATACGCTGAGTTTATTCTTCCAAATYCGGGATGATTATGCTAATTTGCTATCAGATGAGGTAGTTTGATGAAGAATATTGTTATTAAGTGCATTCTCATTTTTCCATCCACTCATTCATTTGACAATTCATTCAACATTTGTGTATAAACACTGATGCATTTCTATCTATCCAAACCATGGTCCTGCACCTTCGGAATTAATACCATCTCACGTCGTGGTATTTCTTGTCTCTTATTGATAACCAAACGGGGGAGGGGGTTGGGGCTACAGTCGACCAAKGCATTACCTGTTTGCATAATACCATTTTACCCGCCTTCCATRATACAATATTATTTGTCTAATAACTGCCATCTTTCAATCTGTTATCAGTACAAAGAAAACAAAAGTTACTGTGAAGATTTAACAGAGGGCAAGTTTTCATTTCCCATTATTCATGGAATAAGACAAGATCCCAGCAGCACTAAGATTATGAGTATCCTTGTCTGCAATAAAATATTTGAATATTATATATGGTCCACTAGCATTCAATGCAGTTTTAGATTTTTCATATAATATGGAAATGCTTTGTTCATGGTCACTGAACCTTAATGGAAAGTGGTGAATGGACCTAAAGATCAAAGAAACATGATAATAGAGCAAACGCAAGAAAACCATGAAATAAAACCAAACTAAATACAAACAAAGAGTGGCTATTTAGGGACAGTTTGTCAGTATCAATGAGACTATTTTTGACTCATCTTGTTTGTTTTCTGGTTCATTGACACCAACAAATTGTATCTATTATTAGCTTCTATTTGTTAGTATTTTTTTATGGTTTTCCTGTGTTTGCTCTATAATATCATATCTGTATACACTTATTTAAAAAAACGTTGTCGGGTAGAACGGCGAGCGGCGATTGTCGAAGGGAGAATTCACGACCGAAAGGGACTATGGGTACGCTGTTTGACATACAAAAAATTCAATTGTTGGGTTACTTGCGTGAAAATGGAAACTAAATGGAGTCAATGATGACCATAGAATGTTTTACGGTATAAATCAGTTATTATTTCCTATCAATTAGCAAAACCCATGGCTCCTTTCGGTCGTGCAATCGCCGTTTGACAATTGCCATTCGCCATTTTATCCGACAACCTTTTTTGAAATAGGTATATTTTAATTTTACTAACTAGTGTATTTCGAAAGGTAAAGATTACTAACCTAAAACTAGTCGTACTTGTATCAATGTTTCTGATGAAACAGTTGCAATAAAACAATAAATCTGTAAAGGGAAAGGGAAAGTACTTTTGCTTTTGTTTTGGGTGATATTAATCATTCAATGACAGATGCTGTTGTTGGTTCTTTAATTCTTTGTAAGATATTTTAAAGCAACACACAGAAGATGTTGATGTGAAGAAGTATTGTGTGGACTGTCTTGAACAGGTATGGTTCATTTTAAGCTTTCATTGAAGCTTACAGCTTTTTCAAAAAACGCTGAGTACTGAATACTGCAGAGTGTATTCCAAGACCGCAATGAATTGTGGGTATGAAACTCCACGTTAACTGCGGTTACAACTGAATGAAAATTCTAAACTCAAGCTGCTTTCCATTGAAGTTCATGACTGAACTGATGTGATATAATCACTCTGGTACGACGCAAATCTTCAACATTCAACTTTTTTGAAATAGGTTTAATTTAGGAGGAGCCGACGGGTTCCTGGGAGAAATCTATCTGTTATCATGTCCCAGCCAGCTGTAAGTCACAACTATTTGCCAGGGAGAAATTCAGGAAAAAAATTAACTCTCCAGGCAAGAAATACTATCTAAGAATTTTTAACAGGAAAATAAAAATGTCCTAACTAAAAAAATATAAGCCATTTTTGAGGCATAAAGACGCGTTATATAAGCTTCTTGAAGTAGAATGCAGCTACTGTAATACATTTACACAAAGAAATAATTGAATATATGAGTCAATAAATGGATCGATAAATCCATGGGTCTGAATTGATTGTATCTTCTGTCTTTCCCTTCACAAGTGTGGCTCATTTATTTATACAAAGACTGTGCTCAAAGAATTCGAACAAAGGTAAACTCAACCAATACTTCTTTACTATTYATCGACACAACCGAATCAATGTGTATTTTTCGGATTTCTTTTCAGAGCTTTACAGCTTATAYGTGAACTTGGAGGAAATGATGATCTTACCGGTGTGGTAAAACATCTTAGTAAACTCTATTCTCAGTGATT